TTAAGGGTTAGGATTAGGGTTAGGTTAAGGGTTAGGTTTAGGATTAGGTTTAGGGGGTTAGGTTTAGGGGGTTAGGTTTAGGGTTAGGGATTAATTTTAGGGTTAGCATTTACAGTGTGCTTCTGTCTCCGCGCTGTTGTCGCCCTGTTGATGACGTCAGCTACGCGGTTTCGTCAAGCGCGGTTTAGTCGAACGCGGTTTTGTGGTGGAACCATTTTGTCTACTTTTGGAACTCATCAAACGTAAGTAGCCAGAAGTTATTCTACCTATATCTGATGAGGCCCAAATGGATGAAACTGGTCACATAAGATATACTCTATAGCCTTACAAGAAGTCATGTAAAACCTCATACATGAGGACATGACATAATATAACATTTGAATCAGTCTGCTGTGAGTGCTTAAGAGAAGGTGGATTGTATATATCAGTGTTTCTCAAGGTGGACTTCAACTCTCGTTATTAATTAGCCAGCAATTCTAGAAGTTAAAGCCCGCCTGTCTTAGATGCAAAGATTGAGATGTACTGGTATATACTATTATAATAGAAATCATTGCTCTATCGTGTGTGTGTATCTTTCAAAAAAACCCAGAGGGTACTGGATTTTTTTAAAAAGAAAAAATATTTGGGGTTTCATTGATCTGGAGATGTTTGCGTGATAATATTCTTACTCCTTTCAGTAGCCACCATCACTTCTCGCCCTCTTCTTGAAAAAGTCTTTTTCTTTCAATTCATTAATGAGGAATTCAGAGAAGAGGAGTCCTGCTGGATCTGTCCCCCCTCCCCCTGAATTGTGAGCCGCCCTGAGTCCCCCCAGGGAAAAGGGCGGCATACAAATAAAGCAATTCAATTCAAGTTCCTTCTAGGCCCGCATACTGTGTTACTTGGATGCATTTGAGATGCTCACCAGCCTGGATCAGGTGGACTATAGTCCCCTTCCACTTTTACATCCCAGGACCCTATTTAAGGCATTCTGCTGCCTACGACTCAGAAGGTAGTAAACAGCCACCAATGATAGCAGCCATTTAGAAGCTGATGTTCAACAAAGCTGTTGAATTCCATTGTTGACAGTAAATTCCGGAAAGCTTAACTGTGCTGTATAAAATGTTTCCTTCTGTCATCCCTGAATAACTTTGACAAGAGAGGGTGATAACCTTTCCTCTCATAATATGATTTCTGCCAAGTATGGATTTACTTAGTGTACCACTTCACTCCTTGTTCTCTTTCATTCCGAGCTAAAGAGCCGTCCTTGCTGAATCCTTCCTCAGGAGGGGACCTGCTCCAGCCTCCTAATTGTTTTGATTGCCCAATTTTGCACCTTTTCTAGTACCATGATACAACTCTTAAGGGGTGGGGGCTGCATTCCAAGGGTGGTCTCACTATATATTCCCTTGAGGGTACAGTTTTGCTGGCAGCTGTATGTTTGAATCCCTTCGAAATGCTCCAAGCATAGAGTCTGCACTCTTTTTACAGTAGCAGCACATGTTAAAAGTCTGCTGTAATTTGTCTATGTGCATTTGTGTGCAAGGTGTACTTAGGCCTCAAGTATTATAGTATTGCTAATTATAGACCATGTTTGCACAACATTATTGAATAAACCGATTTTCTTGGTTTATACAATGTATTGGATTGTGAGAGCCAGTTTGGCCTAGTGGTTAAGGCTCCAGGCTAGAAACTAGGAGAGTGGGTGTTCTGGTCTCACCTTCAGCACGGAAGCCAGCTAGGTGACTTGGAGCCAGTCATTTTTTTTCTCTCTCTCTCTCCCCCCTTGATGTCAGCTCAGGCAACAAGCTGGTGAGTCCATTCCTGTTGTAACTAACAGATATTTGGTTGATCCAAAGAAATAGATTCTACACGTGCCGGAAATATGCTAGGAATAAATATCTCTATCATCTCTATCTCTATCTCTATCTCTATCTCTATCTCTATCTCTATCTCTATCTCTATCTCTATCTCTATCTATCTATCTATCTATCTATCTATCTATCTATCTATCTATCTATCTATCTATCTATCTATCTATCTATCTATCCATCC